AGTTATATTTATAAGTCATGGGGATGTAATGTACAGCATTGGAAATACAGTCAATAATATTGCAATAACTTTATATGGTGATAGATGGTGACTAGCATTCTCATGGTGATCACTTCATAAGGTATATAAATGTCAAGTCACTGCTGTGCACCTGAAACTTATATAATATTGTGCGTCAACGAGTCTTTAATTAAAAAGAGCTTTAGCTCTGACCAGGTTGGAGTGTCATCCCCACACCAAAAAGGTGGCAGGTTCCATTCTGGTCAAGGCACATGACCTGGGTTGCCCTAGTTGGACATAGTAGGGCAGCAACCTCTCTCTCTCCATCTCTATAAAAATCAATTTAAAAAATATACCTTCAGTAAGGATTTAAAAAAAAAAAAAAAGGAGCTTTATATTCCAGAGTAAAAATCAAAATAAAAAACAAAGTGAAAAATAAAAAAATTAAAATAAAAAAGTCTTTGTTCTGTTCCCCCCCCCCACAGAACATATGTAACGAATGAATACCAATATCAATGCCATATATCTCCTCAAGGCAAAAATTTAGAGCAACCATTCTAAGTACCCTTTCCCCTCTAAAACATATAAACCACACACTTAATAAAGGACAGAAGAATTCTGCAGTGTTATTGAATATCAAAAATATCTTTTAATTCTTTAGGTTATAAAGGTTTCCAGAAGCCAAATCATGCATAACAATGGCTAACTCACATTTTTATTATTATTATTATTATTATTATTGTTGTTGTTGTTATTATTTAATCCTCACCCGAGGATATTTTTTCATTGATTTTAGAGAGAGTGGAAGAGAGGGGGGAAAACAGAGAGAAACATCAGGTGTAAGAGAAACACATCGATTGGTTGCCTCTTGTGCATACCCTGACCAGGGCCCAGGTTGGGGAGGAGCCTGCAAATGAGGAATGTGCCTTTGACTGAAATCAAACTGGGGACCCTTCAGTCCACAGACTGACCCTCCATCCACTGAGCCAAAACAGCTAGGGCTAACTCAGATTTTTAGGTTACTAAATACTTTACCCAGATTGACTATTTTCACGATAATTTTACAAAGTAAATACTATTATAATCTCCATTTCACACAGAGAAAACACACATACACAAATCAAAGAAAAACCCTAAGAAATAGAGCAGATTAAATCATCTGCCCAAGATCACAGTTACAAGTAGAATTCAAAGTACTGACAGCTTGTCTGACACCACAATGCAGACTCATAAATGCTGGATTACTTGACTCCCTTTCTGCCTACCTATCTACCTAAATATTTATCTTCAAATAAGTGACCCCACAAAAAATCTGCAGGCATACAAACTACAGGCATACAAACTAAATCAAAATAATTGATTTAGGCTTGCCTTTTATCATTTATAAAGTATATAAAAATCTTAATCAAAAACAAAAAAAATCAGCAATCTAAGCTTCCTAATCTATTTCAATAGCACTGATTTTTATTTTTATATAAAACTTGAATCTAACTTATTTTTTAAACTTCTTAAAAAAGTTATTCCTTTTCATGATAGCTAACTTATACCAAGGCAAAGTGTGTGTGTGTTTTTTTTGTTTTTGTTTTTGTTTTTAAAGACATACCAGGTAAATAATCTTTTTACTCCAGCCCTTCTAAATTCTTCATACTCTTCCAATTATTTTTTGTCTTCCTTCTTTTTCCGATGTTCATGATTTCTACCTGCTGTGTCTAAAATTATCTACCACCCCATGCCTCATAAATGAATATAAATCTGGCTCACATTTAAATAATGAAGCTGGAAAGGACTTTTTAAAAAAATATATTTTATTGATTTTTCACAGAGAGGAAGAGAGAGATAGAGAGTTAGAAACATCAATGAGAGAGAAACAATGATCAGCTGCCTCTTGCACACCCCCTACTGGGGATGTGCCCGCAACCAAGGTACATGCTCTTGCGTGGAATCGAACCTGGGACCTTTCAGTCCACTGGCCGACGCTCTATCCACTGAGCCAAACCGGTCCCGGCTGGAAAGGACTTCTTAAACAAATGTTTTTATTGATTTTTAGAGACAGAGGAAGGGAGCATAGATGGAACATCGATAAGAGGATCATCATCTATCTGCTGTCTCCTCCACTCCCCCTACTTGGGATTGAGCCCACAACCCGAGCATGTGTCCTGACCAGGAATTGAACCGGGGACTTCTTGGTTCCTGCGGAGCTATACCAACTGAGCTGGAAAGGACTTTAGAGAGATGAGGTCATCTGATCACACTTACTCAGATACAGACATGCTCACCAACAGGACAACGTGAACATTGCTCCCTGAAGTTGCGCCTACCCCAAGCCACCACCAAAGTAGTCACAGGCCAAGGGAGGTTTAGGGCTGCTAAGGGTTCTCCATTACAATTGCCTCCTGTTTGTTCCTTCCATCATCTTGCCCACAGGAAGAACACCAGGTAGTAGTAGAAAGGCCAAATAAAAGTTTATCTTTACTATCGAATAAAGGAAATTTCAGCCCTCTTTTAGTCTCCTTTGCTCACAGAATGGTCTTTTGGGCCCTGGCTTACTTGGAACCACCATTGTCAATTCTATTCTGTTACAACACCTATATTTAGAGAATTAAAGAATAGCAGCGACAAGAGAAGCATCACTATTAGAAAAACTGATAAGAGAAGTACAGTTGTTGGGTTTGACATCCAAATAAAACCTGAAAATCTCTGCAAGGATGTCAAATTCTTGCAGGCTTTCTCAGTAATGATATGTACCTTACAAAAACTCCTGTTCTGATCACTGGATATGTGGCTTTATTATATCATGAATCATGGATTATTTTTTTAAAAATTGCTACCTCCTGTAAGGAATTATAATTCTAGCTCTTCATTCCAGAAGATTTTTAAAGTTACTACTTTGAATAAATATACCAAGTTGGACATAAAGTCCATGAAAAGCATAGCCATATCTCATAGGTCATATAAAAGGGAAGGAGCAAGAGGCAAACTAAAACATGATCACACAAAATTACCTAACGAGAAAGATAACCCATGATACTTTCATGTAGAAAGAGCATTCAATACTGCTTTATGAATGGCATTGGTCTTCTTACAAACCAGCAAACATTCAAAAAAGATGTCTTTTAAAAACTTGACTATGACCTACTGTAAGAAATAACACACCCTCTGAAATAAAAAATTCAGGAACCATTATTTACCCATACTAATACAATGTATTCTAACTTTTTAAAAATACTGGTGATGACATGCTAAATTGATGTCATGGCTCATCAGTGAATCACAACCCATAATTTAAAAATCCCTCTTCTAAAAGAATCGCAACATACCAAAACAAAGTTGCTAAACTTGACCATCTTGATAGACTAATCACAACCCAACTGCATCAGTGAACATTTCGGGTTGATTTGAAATAAAAATTAAACATACAAAAGAAGTTCCAAGTGGCATCTGCCTTAAGAACAAGTTTTGATTTAAAAGGAGGGGTAAAAAGCAAAGGAGGAAAAATAAATGCTTGAAATATTGGAACAAACCCATTAGTTCTCATCTCCAATTCACGAACTATAGTATTACACCTTTACCAAGCACTGGAATGAATTACTCAATCTTCAGGATTTTTTATGTTACTCTGCTCCTAATAATGAATTTCTATTTAAATTTCAAGATTAGCTCCAGAGAGTAGGAGGGATGGAAGTGGTCTCTGGATGACGTGAGATGGGTATGGATGTCACATCCTATTTCTGGCTGGTTTTCAATCCAAAACTGTGCAAACACAAGAGAGATAATCATCTACTAAGATCCCCTAAAGCTTGCCAGCATTTGAACTAATTGTGAAGTGATCCCTGGGAACAGAAAGAGAAGTAGTATTCTCAAATCGCCAGCAATTTTTAGCCAGACATTTTCCTTGTCCATTGTCTGGAAATGTTGACAAGCTAATAATGTGGAGATTATTAGGACTGACCATGACTGATAAGTAATGGTAGAAGGCCAAAATTAGAGAAAAAGGTAATGTGCGGAAGAGATGATCTCATAGTAAATAATGTTTCTAGCGGACTCTCTAGGAACAGAATTGAATATCTTTTGAATTACTAACAGTCCTGTCTCTACAGTGTTAGATTTCTTACACTGATAGGTTAGGACAGATAACCTGAAAATCCCTTACAGCTCTGGCATTTGTAATTATAAGTTTAAATCTCAACATCAGGTAACTTGGAGGGCGGGGGGAGGATTCTAGAGGACCTTTTGGGCACCCACAAAAGTTAGTCCCATTTTTTCAGGGGGAAAAACTTGCAATGAAGATCACAATAAAAGTATTACTGCTACAAGAAAACTAATAAGGAAAGTACAGGTGTACCTTTAAATCAGTCTGCAACATCTACAAAAACAAAACAGTGGCTATACCATGAAAATAAATGAAATATTTTGTTTTCAAAATACTGTCACCTGATTTCCCAGGCACATATATATGTTAAAATTTATCAAATTATATATGTATAGTGTATTGCTACACCAATTCTGCTAGATAAAACTGTTTAAAAATACTATCACCAGCTTTCCATTTATGTAAGCACATTACTTCATTCCATTGATAAAACAGATCAACATTATCGCTCAACCCTAATATTTTCTAAGTTTCTCTTTTAAATTTACTATCCTTTGTATTCAACTTTTATTGCCTTGTTATTACTTTCCTAACTTGGCAATCACTGAAAAGCATCGTACCTAAGCTCTAATGACCATCTAAGTTTTTCTGCTGCTATTCAAATAACCATTCCACTACTGAATATATCTTTCCTTTAACAACTTAAAGCACAGCCTAAAAAAACCACAGATTTCCTAATGATTTCATTTCCTCCTTTCCATTAGTTAAAGAAATTGTTTTCTAGGCGCTCCCATATCGCCATGCTATGGTGCAGCTGTCATTTTCTCCCCTCATTCTTTACCTTGAATCTATTTGAAATAAAATGTGAAAGCTCAAAAGGGGAAGGAGGGAAGCCAACAAGACTACTCACATCGGATTTAGAGGACATATTTTCCTCCGCATCAGAATCATTGGGGTCCACGATATCATCAAACGGCGGCAAAGTTGATTTCTTCTTCTCTGACGTCTCACTCTCAATTTTGACTTTTCCCATCTTGACGTGAGATTTGTCTTTTATCTGCTTTTTGTCAGCTGAACAAGTGAGTATCAGCGGTGGCGCGCTAGAAAAACTTTTAAATAGAGCCTCTGAGCTACTCTTTTTCCTTTTTTTGGCTGAGAGTTCTTCAGAATCTGAAATGGGGGGCCTTTTACTAGAAGCCTTCTTATCTTGCTGTCCACTGGTGATAGTGAGTAAGTTACTGTCTGGTTTTGGCTCTTTCGACATGGGTTTGGGTTCCTTGAAGGCCATCTTAGGAACGATTTTTTCTTCTTTCAGTGGTTTGTTTTCTTTGGGTTTCTTAGAGGATTCTTTGGAAGATTTGTTGTGATCCCTGGAAGGTTCTTTGAAGGCACTTTTATGTTCTCTGGAGTCCTTAGAAGGTTTTTCCTTGTGCTCCTTCATTAATTTGTGAGGCTTTGAAAAACTGGTGCTGCTGCTGCTGCTGCTGCTGCTACTGCTGCTGCTGCTACTGCTGCTGCTGCTGCCGCTGCTACAGCTGCTGCTGCTGCTGCTGCTGCTGCTGCTGCTGCAGCTGCTGCTGCTGCTGCTGCTGCTGCTGGTGTGAACACTCCTGTTAGGGTCCTGCAACAAGGAGAAGAAATGAAACTCAAAGCCAACGTGCGACACAGCGCCAAAAGCTGCTTTCCTTGCATCCCGTCTGCACAGAATGACCCCTCTTTGATTGCTCTCGAAGTCATTTTAATGGGAACCAACGACAGTATAAGAGGTGGAAATAGGGTGGGTGAGAAACATGGGGAATGAGGGATACTATGGATCAAGGAATTGAACGAGGCAAGCCATTTTCTTAATCATGAGAAGCATGGCATCCTAAGCATTCCAACTCAACAAATGTTTACTAAATGTTTCTTCTGAAAGATATAAAGATGGTTTAACACATGACTTTTTAAAAAAAAAAAATTTAATTTTTCAATTACAGTTGATGTACCATATTATATTAGTGTTGGGTGTACAACCCAGTGATCAGACATTTATATAACTTAACAAAGTGATTACCCTGATAAATATAAGATCCATCTGACACCATATATAGTTATCACAGTAGTAGAGGCCCGGTGCACGAAGTGTGCGTACATGTAAGGTCCCTGGGCCTGGCCCACAATCAGGGCCAATTGGGGCCTTCCAGCTGCCAGCTAGGGCCTTCCTTTATTCTGCATTGCCCCCTTGTAATAAGCACACATCATAGCAAGGGATCGAACTCAAGGTTTCTCGGTTGAACTCTCAAGGAGACACTTTGCATATTAGACTTTTATATATATATAATATATATATATATTATATCTATATTATATCTAATTGACTATATTGCTTATGCCGTACATCTACATAGCTATTTGTAACTACCAATTTATACTTCTTAATCCCTTCACCTTTTTCTCCCATAACCCAATAACTCTCCCCTCTAGCAAGCATCAAAAAGTTGTCTATATCTATGAGTCTGTTTCTATTGTGCTTGTTCATTTGTTTGTTTTCTAGATTCCACATATAAGTGAAATCACATGGCATTTGTTTTCCTGTGCCTGGCTTATTGCACTTAGCACAATACCCTCTACGTCCATCCATGTTTTTGCAGATGGCAAGATGTCCATATGCCCCACTCTTAATAATTGTGAGATATCTATGATTCATAGTTGCTAGAAAGGCCATCTATATAGTGCTATGACAACAAAAAATCAGAAGATAGGTAATTCTGTTGGAGGTATTGGGGAAAAAATAATTCAGAAATTTATTGAGAATTACTAAATTAAGTCCTCAAAGATAAGCAGTTAATACTAAAAATAGAAGGATGAAAAGTACTTGAAGGAGAGCTCAAAAAATGGCAGCCAAATAGACAGACCCATCATGCACCTCCTTTTATTTGTATTTCCAGACTGGAAATACAACTAAATTGGAGAATATTCACTTGGAATTAGCAACTGAGGTACAGCTGAGGAGGAGACTTATACTAAGGAAGAACAGAAAACACTTGAAGACCACTCTGCACTGACATATTCCTTCTCCACCCCTCTTTTTTGCTTTGTTTTGTTTTTATTGGGAGGCGGGTCTGTTTGGTTGTTTTGTTCTTTTTCTCTTCATTTTTTTCTATCATTCCTACTCTCTGGCCTCTTTCCTAATTTTCTGTTCTCTGTACTTGCTGTAAGGATCTTGTGTAAGTTATAGGTTTGTTTCTTATGTTTTATATTTTGTTGTGTTTTATTTTGTTCTATTCTGTCAGCATTTCCATAACAGTTCACATGACATGGTAGGGGGCAAGCCACATAGTCAGCCAACCTGAGAGGAGATTCTAACCACAAATAGGACAATAACATTCAAGACCCAACTAGAATAGGAAAACCCAAATAACTCAAGTAAGGGGCTTTCCTCAAACACCCAGCCCAAGAAACTGCACCACTAGGTCCCATAAAATATCTACTACATAAGACCACCCCACAAACCTGGGAGGCATAGAAATTTGATCTAATACATAAAATCAAATACAAAGGAGCAGCCATAACAGGGAGACAAAGAAACAACCCCCAAATGAAAGAAAAGCTGGAATAATCAGGAAAGGAACTAAATGAAACGGAGGTAAGCAATTTGTCAGGTAAAGAATTTAGAGTAATGGTAATAAGGGTTTTCAATTTAGTGAGAGCTAAAAGAAACTTAATGAGAATTATAAGAAACTTAATGAGAATTATGAGGGACTTAAGAATAGCTACACCGACATGAAAATAGAGGTTGAAACAATGAATAAGGATATATTGGAAATGAGGAATGTCATGCTGAAATAAAGCACACTCAGAAGGATTCTAAAGTTGGCTAGAAGAAGCTTAGGACTATATCAGTGAAATAGAAGACAAGGTAGGAAAAAACACCCATTCATAACAATAAATAAGAAAATATTTAAAAGGCAGGAGGACAGATTAAGGAGATAACATGAAAATAATAGCATTCACATCATAGGAGGACTAGAAGGAAAAAAATACAAGCAAGGAATAGAGAACCTGTTTGCTGAAATAATGGTAGAAAATTTCCCTAATCTGGTGAAGGAAAATACCATTAAGTTCAGGAAACAGAGAGTCCCAGCCAAGATGAACCCCAAAACACCCACACATTAGTTAATCATTATTAAAATGGCCAGGCTGGGAGCGGCCAGGCCCGGAGTAGCAGCAGCCAAGTCCAGAGCAACTAGGTCGGGAGCGGCAGTGACCAGACCCAGAGCAGTTGGTTGTGGAACGAACCAGAGCAACAGAGGCCAGGCCCTGAGCAGCCAGGCCCGGAACAGCTCACTCCTCGCCTGTCCCTGCCCCATGGCTGCCTCTCAGACATGGCTGGAAACTTTTGCGGGAACTTGAGGGTCTGCTGAATCAAGTGATGAAGGCTTAGATCTGGATGTGTTGAGTTAGTATAGGGCTGGGGTGTTGATCTGTGAGTGCCTTGGGTGGGGCCTGGATGAGGCTAGTTGACCTATTAGGAAATGTCTTTTGTGTGAAGTGTATCATTGGGCATGTGGATGTATTATTGATATGAGAAAATGCTAAGTAACTGATTTACTATCTGAAAAGGGATTTACTATCAGGGAAAGGGAGGGAAGATGAGACTGAACATAAACTGTGCACCTATGGATGAGGACAATGGGGGATGGGGAGGGGGCGGAGGGTGGGGAGGGGGGAAGAAATGAGGAACCTTTGTAATAATATGAACAATAAAGATTGATTTTTTTAAAAATGGCAAATATTAAAGACAAAGAAATAATCTTAAAGGCTGAGAGAGAGAGAGAGAGAGAGAGAGAGAGAGAGAGAGAGAGAGAGAAAGTTACCTGGAAGGGAGCTCCCAATAGACTCAATAGAAACACTTTAGGCCAGAAGGGAATGGCAAGAAGTATACAAAGTAATGAAAATCAAGAGAATGACTCCAAGACTACTCTATCCGACAAGGGTATCATTCAAAATCAAAGGTTAAATAAAGAGCTTTGCAGACAAAAAAAAATGGCTAAAAAAATTTATTACCACCAAACCAGCACTGCAAGAAATGCTAAAGGAACTGGTGTACAAAGAAGAAATAGGAAGAGAAGAACACAAGCATAAAGAGTAAGAACGCCAACAAGTAAATACCTATTAATAACAACTTATATGTAAATAACTTAATGCTCCAATTAAAAGACTGAGTAGCAGAATGGATAAGAAAACATGACCACAGACTTGTATATGCTGTCTACAAGAAAATTGCCTCAGAACAAATGACTCACACAGAATGGAAGTGGAGGGATGGAAAAATTTTTTCCAGACAAGTGGAAATGAAGAAAAAAGAAAAAAAGCTGAGGAGCAACACTCATATCTCACAAAATAGACTTCAAAGTAAAAGCCATTAACAAAAGACAATGAAGGCCATTTCATAATACTAAAGGGATCAATCCAATATGAGGATATGAGCCTGATAAATGTATATGCACACAATATAAGAAGATCCAAATATATTTTATAACTTCTGGAGAATTTTAAGGGGGAGATAGACAGCAATACAAGCATAGTATGGAACTTTAACATTCCACTGATATCACTAGACAGATTTTCTAGACAAAAAAAAAAAAAAAAAAAAAAAAATCAACCAGGAAACAACGCTCCTAAATGACATAATAAATCAGATGGAATTGACATTTACAGAACATTTCACCCCAAAGCTACAGAATATATATTCTTCGCGAGTGCACATGGGACATTTTCAAAGATAGACCACATATTAGGACAAAAACTAAGTCTCTACAAGTTCAAGAAGATTGAGATCTTATCAAGCATCTTCTCAGTTCACAATGGCATGAAATTAGGAATCAACTACAATAAAAACACTCAGGCCAGGGGGCATCGCTCAGTGGAGGAGGTAGCCAATCAAAGACTACCTCTCATCACTGATGTTTATCTTTTTCTTCCTGTCTTAAAATCAATTTAAAAAAATATTAAGAAAAAAAAAGAGAAGAGTTATTAAAAAAAAAAAAAAAAAGACCCATTCAGAAACATTCAAATGCATGGAGTCTAAAAAGCATGCTATTATATAATGAAAGTGGAGAGAGAGAACCCACTGCATGGGAAAACGTATTTGTCAATAGTATAACTGATAAAGGGTTAATATACAAAATATATAAAGAACTCATACAACTTAAGAAAAGGAAGACAAGCAATCTAATTAAAATTGGGCATACGTACTAAATAGACTTCTCTAAACTGGACATAGAGAAAACCAAGAGGCATATGAAAAAATGCTCAAAGTCATTAATCATCCAAGAGATGTAAGTTAAAACAGCAATGAGGTATCACCCCTCACCTGTCAAAATGGCTATCATCAACAAATCAACAAATGACAAGTGTTGGTGAGGATGAGGAGAAAAGAGAACTTTAGTACACTGCTGGTGGGAATGCAGACTAGTGTAGCCACTGTGGTAAACATTATGGAGTTTTCTCAAAAATTAAATTCGCATTTGACCCAGTGATCCATTTCTAGGAATATATCCTAAGAAATCTGAAACACTCATCAGAAAGAATATACACTCCTGTGTTCATAGCAGCATAATTTAAAGTAGCTAAGATTTA